CCGGAGTGGAAATTCTTCCTGTGATCCTCCTTTAGTCTATTCAACATAGCGATGTTAGGTGTGCGTGTGACCAGACCTTCATGCAAATACGAAACAGTATTAAATGTATTAAAATCTCGTTGACTTAGAAAAACTGTTAAATCTGTTTGTCATTAAAAAAATAAAAACATTACAATAATTATGAAAAGTTAATGGTAAAGTTCTAGTTTCGGTCATCCCTGCATTTAGATATCCAAACTAACCTAACCTAACCAATCTAACCTAACCTAATGGAACTTAAGCGATTCCCGGATGACGGAAACTAAACTACTAAATTAATATCGCTATAGTTTTAAACCAATCACAAATGTGTGTGTGATATAATACAAATTATTCCTGAAAAAAATTTCTACTGCTCAATATCAAAGAAAATTAGCTCGAGAAAATATATTTTAAGTTTAGGGCTAACTTCTCTACTTACCAAAGTTTACGGGTGGCGGTTAGGTTAGGATCACTGCTGGGGCTCTCGGCGCATGGGCATACTCTGCCTGTGTGAGAGACTGAGATGACCGCTCATTACCCTGCAAAGGTTACACACATCCGAATCAAGCAGAAATAAATTAAAATCTGGACCAGGATTAATAACTGCTTATTATAATTTTACAGACGTGCCTTATCAGTATACGCAAGTCTTGAATCTTGAATGAAATAACTCATATTTTCGCCTACCACTAACATTCACCCCTCTCCCCAGCCTTTCCCGCGCAAAACGACATGGAGCCATGTTGAGCCCTTCTGCAAATGCAATAAGTACTATTTTACACGACCCTGGCAACATGACTATACCGAACACGATAAAACTGTCACAAGATTCCTTCTATGCTATTAATTTTGAGAGTACCATCTGAACATTTTGTTTTTAAATCTGATTTCATAGACCTATGAACATTTTAAATTGGCCGTGAGGATCCAGCCAACAGACCTCCATTGTATTATTCTGCTGCCCTGTAACTGCGTGTACATCTGTAGCTAACATATTCGCCTGATATATATATAAATATAAAGTCTCTCATAACTGATAAATTAGAACCAGAACGTACTTACCAGTTATATGGGGTCCTCAATGTCTCACATTGGTCCATCTGCACAGCAGTTAACAGTTTCTTCCCCCGAATGTATCAACGATTCCTAACTGTAATTAATACAAATGATAACGCTGGAACTTGGTGGTTTCCTACTGAGTGGTGATGGAATATAAAAAACTCGAATTAATTTTCAAATGCGAGTGCCTGCCGAGGCGCACAAGAGTCAAATGACGGGACGCTGGAAAGTTTTAAAAGGATGCTAGACAGATCCATGGACGATAGAGAGTGGTTGTAACTCTCGACAGGAGCTGCCATGCACAGGCCAACCGGCCTATTGCAGACTCCTTATTTTCTGATGTTCTCAACTGAGTGGATACAGCCAAGGACTAAAAACACAAGTATATTATCCTTGGATACAGCTCTCGCCTCCTGTCCTCGGGGTCGCAGATTCGCACCCAGCTCTGAATGGGTACTTAACTTAACAGCTAGGGAAGTGCATACAGACGAGTTTAGTGCCGGCCACACCACTTTCTATAATCTGTTTCCGCACTGCCCCTCATGGGCTGTCCGGCATACCGGACTCACTTCCATTCCTATCTCGAGGAAAATGTTGAGTCTAACTCTTATGTTTTGAAAATCCATTTCACAATTTTACTTTGATGCCACGAAGCCTTATTCAGAAAGATCTTCCTTTGGTAGACTTTAAGGTGGCGTTGCATTGCACTTTTTCCGTCAACTCTCACGTTTTCTGTCGTTTTTTCCCACAAGTTGACCATTGTTCTAGAGCGTCTTGGTCACACCTAATGTAGGGCTTCAACCTGATTGGTTCGCAGTTTTCGCGCCAATTTCTGCGGTCAAGTCAAGGTCTAAATTTGATAATGAGGATATTTATACAAATTAAATATCCAGCCACGTAAAATAGCAAAATATAATTTTAAAGTATTTATATTCGCTTTTTTAATAAATTGCTTAGGTGTAATGTTTTTATTCATGTTGATATTCGTGAATACCTCAGATTTTTTTCAATTAACGACGACGCAGTGTTGCCAATTTAGCGCTTTTGGCGCTAAATCTAGAGATGTTCCGCGTCCAATTAGCTCTAAATTTTAGTGAATTGCTCCATTGCACAAATTTAGCGCTATCTTATTTATTGTCCAGAACACGTGGAGGGGTTGGAAGTGTCATTATCGGTACTCCTAATTGAGTGATAAATTATGAGAAAGGTCATAAATAAAGAAACCATTCTACTCTTTTCATTATACTATGATAATGAGTTTATAAATATAACCTTTATTTTTTTCTACTACGACAACGTCATAGGAGCGTGGAAGATAGAAAATAGATGCGTAGCCGATACGGTGTGGAGTATGAGGTTTTATTAAGTGAGGGAAATCTTATAACAATGACCACAGAGTTTCTGGGAAAAAGAAATGTACAGTCAGAAACTTTAGACAAAAAAATGGGTGGAACTCCAAAGTCGATATTATGATCAGCTACCTGTCAGCCTCCTACTCTCACAGCCGCGTCTGTCCGCCACACCGGACACTCTTACTGTTGGAACATGTAAGACAGCTTCGTCAACATCTGCCACAGTGCCGGATTCAGACCTGTGGAGGCCCCCTCATAACTACCCAAGAGGGTGGGGTGGCGAGTGAAGCGAGCCTAAACATCTGGGAGTTCCGGGGGGCGCTGTGAGCCCCCCGGGAAAATTTTGAAATTTGAACACTTCTTTGGAGAATTTTGAAGCCATATGCAGTTATATTGAGGGAATTCGAACATTGAGAATTTTATAATTAACTGTATATTTATTGATAGTGTACAAATTCCCAATACACGCACACACACAAAAGTGAGACATGACTGTAGTCATTCATGTGGTTTCAAGTCGGTTCATAGGAAAACCAGGTATTCATGAATTTCAAGGAGTAGCTAGCCTAATTTCTATCACGCTTCTTGCTGAACATAGTTTTACGTGATGGAATAGATAAACATGAATTTTAAAGAATGAAAATAAAATTAATCCAAATGAATAAACAAATAAATAAAATATTGCAATATGTGGAGGCCCCCAGATTGTGGAGGCCCCTGGATAGCTGCCCACTTTGCCCACTCCTGAATCCGGCCCTGTCTGCCAGACAAAGTTGATGTCTCTAATCCTGTTTAGTGTTGGAGTGTTTGAAGCTTTTATTAAACCTAAAATTATTGAAATGGCAAAACTATTTGTGGGTGACGATCCATCCTCTTACCCACATTGATTTCCTGGGAGAGACTGCATCACACCAAGTGGACTGAAACCATTAACTGTTAGTGGTTTCAGTCCACTTAGTGTGATGTGTTAGTGACTATGACATAACTATTTTGAACTGAAGTATCTATTTATAGGAACGTCTCAGGTGAAAATCCCTTTAAAGACTATCACAAGTTGCTCTCTAGGCCTTTACCCGACCACGTTCAAATACCAGTGTTGAGCGTTCCTTCAGCCATATGAACCTGATTAGTCTAAGTTTCACAACAGGATGAAAATTTCAACACTGAAAGCAATAAAGACTGTGAAGTATAGATTGAAGAGAAAATAAAAGTACTTTGCTACTTATGACCTGCACCATGAAAGCCTACAGCGGTTCTCCAGCATCACCGAATCAACATACTCAAGACCGAACTACATGCAGTGACTTTGATATCGGAGACAGGGTCACGGGGATGCATTTGATTTGGAATATATCTTGGCAAATAAAGCCTATGTGTGATCAAGAAAATTATATAACCATATATGTGTTTTACTAAACGTTTTAGCTAATACAAAAACTATATACCTTGAGAAAGTGTAGCAAATCATATCTAACACTTTTCTAGCACTATTCTGAAGTTAGGTTTGGCACCACTGAGAAAACAACGGAAACTGGCGCGCTAGTGTGAGTGACGGCGGCCGCTCAGAAAAATTTCTATCTTTAGAAAAATTTTAACATTGTTAGTAATGCTAATTTTCTTGTTTTCCTGATGCCGTGACAACGCTAAAGTCTGATGGAATCAGGATGACTGCGTGTGGTAGTGATGTGATTTTAGTATGATAACCACTACCAGTGTTGTTGTGTCAGAGATACAGGGACGAAGGATAACATGTCAAGTTCATTCTCGCTATGCCCCTCCTATCCACATCCGGCCTCAGCACCAATGACCAAGTTGCCAGTTGCAGGCGTGGCTGAGGGGGTAGGCCGGAGATATTAATTCAAGTTCCCTCCTCTGGGTCCTTCCCCACCCAGTGTATCTTAAAACACATTCTTGCACGCCCACACAGCCGTGCATTCATCATAGATAACACTGGGCTTACGGGTGTAAACATTAATCTAAGAATAGGAGACTGAGAAGACTGCATGGAATCAAAATTGACACTAAAGTGACAATTCGTAAACGTTTATTTGTGTTACTGATGGGAAGCTTGATGTAAAAGTATTTTATAAAACAATGAGATACTGATGTTATTTTCGTTTGGCAACTTCCCGTCATTCAAAGACAACGCCAGGATACCGCAATCTGTCTCCATGTTTGTTACTTTGTGCGCCTATAGGAATTAAGTCGGGATCTCACCTCCGTCATCAGAGAATGTGGTTTTGGGAGAATTCAGTAACCTAAGTGGTGAAATGATAAAATAGATTAGGATCACGGAGAGGGAGTAAGCTAGTTAAAAGATAAACGTTTATTTGGCATAAAAATATTAATAGTAACTGATACACCGGAGGTGAAAAACAAATCTTGAAGGGGAAAGACTGTTGACTTGAAGCAAGATTACCTCAATATTTCGGCTTGGCAGTCTTGAACCAAACGTCACTGCCCCCATGTGTTCTTGTGCGTTCGTAAGAGAATGAAACCTAGCAGTATAGAACTTCAAAGCATTTATATAAACAAATCTCAAAGAATTATCCAACTAAAAATATTTATTGAAATTTGGTAATATTATCAAGAGTTGAAATTCTATCTTCAGAAATACATGATGTTTCATCATTGATAAAAGACGAGTGACAACAGAAGCATGGAAGAGAAGGTAAGAGTGAACTCCCTCTTATATTGTCCACACATCATGAACTTGTGGAAAGTTTCATTGTTAAATCTCTGTTATTGAATGTTTTAAGCTAACAGCAATGCAATTATTTATGTTTAGCTGTATTTTATAGCGTTTTAAGTTCTTAATACCTTTCAATATTGTACATTACCGGGCCAGGTTGAAATATCCGTAATTACTAGTTTATTTCATTATTTAAACGGCTCTTTTAAGCCTGAGAATTTCTCACTTTAGGTGTCATATGAGAATGAATGCTAACAAAGCTTAATATAATTTAGGGAGATATTGATGTGATCTGTGTTGTCTGACCAACAGTTTTGGTCATCTGGGAACATACTCTACCGGTACTGTATATACCGGAGTTGACATCGGGTAATACTGAAAGACAGTCACGGGGGGGGCGGGGGGAAATTGGTAATATTTAAGGACAGCTGTCCTGGTTATCCAACCATCTAATCAAAAATCCATCGGAGAAAACTTATTCTTAACTTAAGACTAAAGCATATTGGGTGGAGGAATAACATTTTTCTTTTTCAGGTTAGGTAGATTTTGTTGGTTTGTGAGTATTGCCTAAATGAAAAAGAACTGCATCTTGGCCTTAAGTAATGCAAGTTTGTCTTCTCTCTCCTCCTTTATTATATTAGTTAATATTCAGCCTTATTGTATTGACAACATAGTACAGGTATAGAACAGTACTGTATATATCCTAATATGATCTGTTTTATCAGATCTTATTGTACAGTGTTTAACTCATTTTAATATTGTATGTGAGAACAGTTAAGGAAGACCTTAACAAACTCTACTTGTGTGTGTGTGTCAAAGTTTCTGGGTGATGAGCATGTAACAAGAATAATGCTGCTAACATTTTAACAATTGCTTGCTTCTTGCACAAAATTTTTGTGATTGTTACTGGTACGTAAAGTTAGTGCCATGTGTCTGCTGAAGTGTTTGAGGTTATATGAGAAAGGAAAGGCATGTTTTTTACAGAATTTCCCTCATGTATTAAGATGTTACTGACAGCCACAAGAGACTACAGTATGAATTGTGAAAATTTACAGCATTAAAAAATGTATACATTATACGGTACTGTATACAGGAAAATTATACCGAAGTCAAATTTGTTTTTCTGTCTTACAACTAACTGCTTCCTTTTCATGCACTTGAGATGAAATTTCCATCAGGTACAGTGTGGGTTTGTACACATTAATAGCATTTTAGGGTTAATTTTTTATTAAGAACACTATTATATTCACATGATTACAAATGTTGTACTGTACGTAGTTGGTAATGAAAATTAAATTTTTTTACCTTTTATTAAATAATTTAGTGTCCCTCCTATACTGTACAGGAGCTGCCTCTTATACTGCTGGATGCTCACCTGTCACAATACAGCTATGTGGGAGGTTTTCAACCTTCACAGGCAGATGTAGCTGTCCTGACCTCAGGCTGTGTTCCCCCCAGTCCCCCTCGCACATTACCCAATGTGCGACGGTGGGCAGCACACATGGCCACTTTCTCATCCGTCGAGTGCCTCGCATTTCCCCCGTACACTCTTGGTTGTAAGGTGTGATGCCACACAGTTTTTCTCTTGTACACAGTACTATGACCAGGGACAGTGTTATCTTGCTGCAGTTCTGATTTTAAAGTACAGTCACTTTCTATAGAATAAAACAGATTACATCTTGAGCTGCAGAGAACATCTGGTGCTTAAAGGGGAGTTATGGTGTCACCTTACACTGTGTTAATGTGGAGACTGTGCCATTTTTCCCCCTTTGTTGAGCATGAAGTACAGCCCTGTAATTAATTACAGCCCTGTAATTTACCAGCATTTTGATTGACCATCTTATAGTTTTAAGGTCCAGTATTTCACAGAAGATGAAATGTTATGATCATTTATCAAAATAATCTCACCCTCAGTGTTCCCATCTCTTCACAGCTTGTATCTGTCAGAATCAGGGGTCAGAAAACAACTCCGTAGAATAGTGACATTAGGCCTAGTAGTCCGACCAGGAGAAGACTCAAAATGGCGTTCATTGGTTCATTGGGTAGAAGTGTAAGATCACTGAACCATTTGATAACTGGTAGAGGCATCAACATCCAAGTGTCTACCACGCTCCTCTCATCTCTCCCTGGCACTAGAGGCCTGGCGTGTAAGGTAGGGCACGACTCTACCTCTTGCATTATTAATAGATTTATTGTTGTCTTTATTTTATATTTTGGCAGTAAAATTTTTTACTTTACTTTTTCTTGTAGTGGCTGAATAAAGTACATGCCAGGGAGAGATTTGAGTTCAGATATTAGTCTCTGTTGTTGTGATTTGTTAGTGTTTTATTTAAATTTGGAAAACTTACCAGATTTCATTCATAAAATCAGTATCACTCTGGAGATTGGGGCTTTTGTTGTGATTTGTTAGTGTTTTATTTAAATTTGGAAAACTTACCAGATTTCATTCATAAAATCAGTATCACTCTGGAGATTGGGGCTTTACTGGTTGAAGAACTGCAGCTTGATAAATATTCCAATGTTAATACTTCAAAAATGTATGCACTGTAATACAGTATGTACTGCACTGGGGACTGATTACTGCATAAAGGAGATGGTGCATGGTTGGTAGCTGTATTGTATATGCTGTAGTATGTAAAAACTAATACTGAACGTATTTACTTTGTCTATACAGTATGTTATTAACAAAAGCAAACAAATGCTTTCATGCATGACTAGATTATTAAAAGTTTGTACAGTTGCTTGATTGCTTTTATGCTTTACTGTCAATAGTTTTAATGTGTACTTATTGTGTACTGTGACCTAGTTTATTTAACCTCATAAATACTGTACCACACTTGGTTATCTTGAAAATTCCTTTCACCGTGTTGAATGACGCCTTGCTGCTTTCTTAAGAAGAATATGTACTGTACTGTACAGCTAATGGAAAGATGATTCAGCATGAACACTAAGGTGTAGTTGTTTGTACAATTATTAATCCAAACTATATGCACCCGAACACTCCTGTTTACATAAGTTTCTTTCCCTATCAATAACTCATTCTTTGCATTCTATAGTGTTTTTCAATTTGTAAATTTTTCTCAATTTTTTTCTGTACTATACACTGTAACTCATCTTCCTGTATGAGGTGTTACGGAGAGTACTGTACCAGTGTTTGATTTTAGACTGTAGCATCATTTGGTTTAATTTGTAGTGTGTGTGAGTGAGTCACTGAGAAGTATACGAGGTAATGTAGCTACGTGATTAAAATTATTAGAATGTGTGGCATTTTTGTGCATGATAATATTAAATTCTTATAATACAGTACAGTAGTTTTAAAACTGCTCGAAATTTTTATACATGTCTTAGTTAATTGGTAAATTGTTGCAAAATATTCACACAAAGTTTATACTATTATATAAGGTTAAGTGTAAGTGATGCTGACTTGGTTCCTGTAGAGTGTATGTACAAGTAACAGACACTGTAGACTAAAGGTTTGAAGGCTGAGGCAAATTGGTCAAGTATAATTGTAGCACAAAACTATTAATTAATAATGATATCATTTGTAACTTCTAGGCCATATCATTCATAATAGAAAAATGTGACTTGTTTCAACATAAAAACTCCTTGTCCTTTGAAGTGACTGACATAAATTTATTACTTGTTTATCACTAATTACATATTCATGCTTCAGTACAGTACAGTAGTTTATATACTGTAAGTAAATATCCAAATACTGTACTGTAATAAAGTCTCTTAAGAGTTGTGGTGAAGTAAAAGTGTACAAAACTATAGAGGCTGAAAGGAGTTTATTTTGTTGATTCCAGACATTAGCTGTATGGAAAATAATGGTTATAGAAACTGTAATGGTATAGTTGTGCTTATCTATAGTGATACACCTTATTGTATGATTTTAAACAGTTAGCATATGCTGTCTAGTACCTACAGGTATCTCAAAAAAGTATCTGCCCATACTGTGAAACATTATGAGACCCCGGATTATAGATATTGGGACTTGCATTCACTTTGGTACATAGTTTAACACAAGTACAATAATTCAATGTATATTTATTTTGGAATAATTAATATGGTATTCAGTAACCAAATGTAGTAGGGTCCATATGCCACAGACTCAAAGCCATGGATAATAAACCAACCCTCTCGGGACATTGCGAGTTGCATATAGTACAGTACAGTATTTCGGAAGTCATCGGACCCATCCTGGCAGATACTTTTTTTGAGATACTGTACATCTGCTTATCATATTGCTCTTTATAATGTTTCTGATGTTTTTCCTGTAACAATGCAGCAACCATATTCATTTGAAAGTTTAGTACTGTATTAGATTTAGCTTAATAATTTTTATGCTATTAGCGTGCAATAGATAATAATCATTTGACAGCTTTGGAAAGTGAAAGGTAAACTGAAATGAGTAAGTGCTCTTCAAGATTAAATTTGTTTCTCAAAGTTTGGAAGTCATCTTGTGAGCAGTAGAAATTTTTGCCTCATTTTTATTGGTGAATCTTTCCTTCAAGCAGCTGGGTATGCCATGGTCCCTTCTGTAAAGCCCATAATAAATTCCAGATATTTTGGTACTGAAAAGATTGTAAACAGAGAAAATAGTGTATGTTTGTTCTTGATTCTGGCCACCATGCATCATGGTGGGAAAAGGCTGCCAAGATATAATAATGGTAGAATCATCAAGGTACAGCTCCATACTGTATTTTAGGTCCTGACTTCCTCTAAATGAATACAGTACAGTATTACAGTATGTTATTTTAATTTAATTTTACTGCAATTGACGAAGGGATTGCTTCATTGTTGTTAATATACATTAAGGATGAAAATAAATACTGTATCACCAAAACTTGAATAGTGAAGGAGATTGAATGCTTCTGGTCATTTTATTTGGTTATATCATACTGAGACAGATGAGAGGCACAGTAATGACGGTGAGGACTGTATGATGTCTTGCTGTGAAGGGCATCATGGCCAGTCCGAGGTCACTGGCAGCCATGACCACCGTGAAATTTCAAGCCTGTGAAGTACAAACAAAAACATCAAATCATAAAGAGCTGAGCATGTGTTGTGTTGGTGGTGATGATTGATCTTTCTTATTCCATTTACAGATGGATGACCAGCTGTCAGACTTAGTTCACAAGAACATTAAGATGAGTGGTGAAGCACAAAACTCAAAGAAATGCCCAAAAGTTAGTTATCGATGTTGTTTAACTATTTTATGCTGATCGGTTCTTTACTTAATCATAGGAAATATTGATAAGGAATGTGATGGTGATAGTGACTAGTTTATTGAATCAATTTTCAGGGTTTCCATTATAACCGGCAACCAGCAAAGTTGTCAGATTCAGGTGGCATCTGGAGTGGGTCATATTGTTCATTGAAAAGAATCTTCGTACATCTTAGGATAAAAGATTAACCTTACCTCAAATAATTTCTTAAATTTAACTATTGATTTCTACCCTCAGTTATTCTTTCTTCGGTGAGTTGCAACAGACAAACCAGGGACTCCATTATCTCCAGACTTGCTATCTACACAACACTATATATAATACACTACAGGCTTCAATCTTAACATTTAGTGAAATCCTTGCAGTATAAGCAATGGTTAAAGGGACACGATTATTTCTCGGCAAATGGTTCCCAACACTATGTGAACACTGACCGCCTGCAATGACAGCAAGAATGGAAAAATCTTAACATATTTATTTCTTGAACCTCTGTACTATACTGTGTTTATCTAGATATATTGGTAAGGAAATTTTTAAATATTGAATCCTTTCCAAAGTTTAAGAGCTAGCTTGTGGAAGCCTGATAGTGAAGTGCTGTTTGCCTTCTCGCTCATCACTGCCTTGAGCTCAGTCATTTCTGCTATATTTCTTGCTTTAGATACATTTAGTTTACATAGAGCACACATTGCACTGTATCACCATTACTGTATGTGATTTTTATGCCTTCATATTTCGTGCATGATATATACGAGTTAAAATTCATGTTATTTTTTCTCTCGCTCACACTTCAAAAACCCCTCCCATATGGTGCAGGGTGGCCACTACACACAGTATATTAATGTAAGCACATGTGTTTTAGTTGTACTGTATTAGACATGTTTGAAAAAAAAAATCCTGAATTTCATGTGCAGTTTGTTATCCTTCAGAATAACAAAGGTGGTGAAAGCGGCAAAGGGAAATCTGGGAAATTTACCCTGAAGACCCCAAAGGGCACCAGAGATTATGGTCCTGTTGAAATGGCTGTCAGAAGACAAGTAAGATATTGTGATTCTTGTTAATTTTCTATTTCAATTTTATATCTGAAAATAAGCCAGTCATAGAAAGATTATTAATGAGAATTCATCAATTTCATTTTGTATTATTTTTTCAGGTATTTGATACAATATATGATGTTTTCCACATGCACGGAGCAGTAGAAATTGAGACTCCAGTATTTGAACTTAAGGTTTGTGTTATTGTTTGACAGTTGATGACTAAGAATAAGAAACAATTTCTCTCTCTCTCTCTCTCTCTCTCTCTCTCTTTTTTTTTTCTTTTTTTCTTTTTCTTTCTTTTGACTGGATGGTCTCAGGTCAAACATGTCGCCCACTTTCTGGTATTAAAGACTTGAAGAAATCCCTGGAATACCCGATATTAACTGGGAAAAAATTACAGGTTAACTTGGCTGTCAAATAAGTGAAGCAGTCATCACTATTTTATATTGCGAAACATTTGTTATAAGTTGCTTTAATTCTGTTTCAAGGTTCATGATGTATTCTTCTTATTTAATCTTAACTAATTAAAAGGTGGAATCTTAGCTCTTTTTGTGACAGAAAATATCTAAATGTACAGAATAAAATTTTTTTATATATACTCTAGTACCGGGTAACCTAATTGACTGTAGCTTATAAATTATGTGCTGTCAGTATTATTAGTGACATTTATTTTTCTCCCTTAGGAAGTTCTTACTGGTAAATATGGAGAAGATTCTAAGCTTATATATGACCTGGAAGACCAAGGTGGTGAAATTCTCTCCCTGAGGTATGATCTTACTGTTCCTTTTGCCCGATATGTGGCCATGAATAAGATCACCAACATCAAGAGATATCACGTGGCTCGTGTGTACCGGAGAGACAACCCGGCTATGACCAGAGGTGTGTTGTACAGACGTGGTTATTGTATTGAGATGACTAATTATATGGATTCCAGTTGTAAGGGGCCCCAACCTGACCTGACCTAAGCATACCATTATGATTGGGCCCTAGTTTTAATGGTTAGGTTAGGTTGGACCCTAAAAGCCTGTAATCATTGCAGTCCTGAACTTTGTCACTCAACACTTCACAACAACTGGACGTATTTAGAAGAGCTCTTTAATATAGCCTCCGTCCTCATCTTAACACTCATAGCTACATTGATTAAGTTACGGTGATATAATTATATAAACCCAATGTACTGCCCTGACATTAATATGAGAACTAAGGGGCTAATACAGTCCTTTTTGTTTTACTGGTACTTTTTGATGTTTTTCAAGAATATATTTTGTATTATTTGAGGCAAAGATTTTTTTTTTTTTTTAAACTTGACTAGTATACTGTAGTACCTGTATTGTATTTGCCTTCTGTTGTAACCTCGTACGTACATTAACCTTCATCACTGTTTATGCACAAGAAATAGTCCATCGAGTCATTTACCGTACTTACTCATACTTTGTCTTCCCTATACATACTCCTTAATAAGACTCACACTGAAAGTTGATAAATTATTGCCAAAATATTCTCAAATTTTCTGTTGTAAAAGAAATGATGAAGAACCTGCCTCCATAGGTTTGTGTTAGAAGGTAGAGTGAGTCTGTCTCTAATTTGTGTTATAATAGTAAGAAGGATTTTATTTATCTTAAAAGAGAGAGAATTTATACATATTTCTCTTACAGGCCGATATCGTGAGTTCTACCAGTGTGACTTTGATATTGCTGGGCAGTACGATGCCATGATTCCTGATGCAGAGTGCATACAGTTAGTTCATCAAGTTCTATCAAGGCTAAACCTGGGAGACTTTACTGTTAAGGTGGGTAGTTATTGACTACTCTACTGTACATGGGTATTGGATGATTTTTTTATAATCTAATGATTGATAAAGTTAGAATTCTTATATACCTTTGAAGTAGGAGGCTGAAACTGCATAGCATTGTTCAGAGGAGTTTGTAACACCCAGTAGGGGTTAGGATAGTCATGTGTTTAATAATATTGAAAAGGATTGAGATTTGTAAGAAACTGAGGTTTAAACAATTGGCCTTATTGTACTGTACTGAACATTATAAGCAGCTTTTGCCTGTGGTTTATTTATTTAGAGAAAAAAACATTATTTTTGGTCATCTAAATTTGAAATTCTGAGAAATTGAATGTCAACCCTTAAGCCCCGGGTTAGGGTGCTGCTGACAGTACCCCCCACGCGGGGTTAAATCGAGAAAAAAATCAACATTTCCAAAAATAATGAAAAAAAAAATGGTGGGAAAATAGGCGGACGTTCTGGAACGTCACCCGGGACGCGCTAATCGGACGTTCTGGAATGTCACCCGGGGCCTAAGGGTTAATAGGAAATATTTTTTTTTGGAATGTATAAGGATTTGTAAAAAATAACTTGAATCCGAAATTATTTCTGTATTTTATTAATTTTCATTACTCTTATATTTTTAGGTAAATCATAGAAAAATCCTCAATGGTGTGTTTGGTGCATGTGGTGTTCCAAGTGAGAAGTTCCGTCCCATTTGTTCAGCTGTGGATAAGCTCGACAAGACTCCGTGGGAAGACGTAAGAAAAGAAATGGTTGACGAGAAAGGTTTGGATAGTGATGTTGCTGACCTTATTGGGGAATATGTGAAGTTGTCTGGCAGAGAGGATCTCTTGGAAAAACTGAAGCAAGATGAAAGATTAAAAAATTCAACTGATGCTCAGGTAAGATCACTATAAAGAGATTTACAGGTCAAAACATCCTAATCAAGGTTTGTCTGTCCTGTGTGAGTATTTCCCAGTGGGATGAACCAGTTCTTGTCTGTGCCTGTTATTTTATTATTTTCCATTATGTGGGGGTAAAATGCAAATAAACCTTGTAGAATTGGCATGAACTGATTTGATAGCTGGGACTAATGTTTGGGGGGGAAAAAATGAACTTTCAAAGCTTTCCTATTTAAAAAAAAAATAGATAGACCAGAAAAGGTCGTGCTTTTCAAGATTTCCAGTTTAACATTCCTTACTTTATTTACTATGACTATACTGTAGACTGTACACATATTTTGTAATAATAAATAAGTAATATTTCACAAATGTTTGTCTGATAACCAAGAGAGATCTTTTCCCACAGGCTGGCCTTGCAGATATTACTCTTCTTTATCAATATTGTAAGAGCTTAGGTTGTGATGTTCACTTGGTATTTGACATGGGCTTAGCAAGAGGCCTTGACTATTACACTGGAGTTATTTATGAGGCCGTGTTGATGGCCGGCCAAACTTCTAAAGGAGAGGGACCCGTAGGAAGCGTTGCTGGAGGTGGGCGGTACGATGGGTTGGTTGGAATGTTCGACCCTAAAAAGAAGACTGTGCCTTGTATTGGTCTTAGTTTTGGCATTGAGAGATTATTTGCCATTCAAGAACAGAAGCAGCGAGCTGAAAATGAGAAGGTCAGTGATTGGGACTTGGTGTACTGTATTATGACTGACTGAGACTCATTTGTAAGTATAATTTGTTTACCCTTAATAGTATCCTGGGATCAGTTTGATGAGTGCTGTTAATGTAACCTGAATAAATAAAGGCACATATATATAATTTATATTACAACAAGTATGTATGATGTTGCTAATTAAAGCAAAATTTTTTAAATTTCAATTCATTGCATGCTTAAAAGTAGTTGAGATTCTTATTAAAATTTGGTTGAGGAAAACTCAGTAAGTTCATGCTGATACACCATTTCTTGTTTAACTCAGCTGTTATCCTGAAACTTTAAGTTTGGACTTTTTCTTTTTTTTTGCTCCACAGCTTCGGTCAACTCAAACAGAAGTGTTTGTCGCAGCTGCATGTAAAGGAATGGTCCATGACAGATTGAAACTTATTGGTCTTCTACATGAAGCAGGAATTAAAGCAGAAAGTAGCTACAAAAACAATCCCAAGATACTCAATCAGTTACAGGTAAGATAATTTTCTTGTTAATTCATGTTATGGTGTGTTGCTATCCTAAGCTTAGCATAGTTGTCTCGGGCAAAGTTTTTACATTAATTAGGTGCATTTTTATCCCATGTAAAAATGCATCACAGGTGTTAGTTGCTTTAACTTGCTGCAAATTTAAGGAAATACAATCTTGTTTAAGGTACATTATCATTCAAATAAAATGTTTTAGATATGGAGATTATGAGCAGGGTTGTCAGCTCAAATATTTCAAATACAATACTGTATTGTATAGGAAAATTTTACTTCTGCATGATGTATTAATAAAAAAAATTGACACACTTATTTTATTACAGTATGCTGAAGACAATGCTATTCCCCTTGTGGTGTTAATAGGTGAGTCAGAAGTACAAGAGGGTGTGGTGAAGTTACGAGAAACAGCAACACGTGCAGAGGTCACCATCAAAAGAGAGGAATTAGTTTTGGCAGTAAGACAGAGGCTTGGAAAAAATTCATAAGGTAGTGTACTATACAGTACATATTGTAGTTGTTGTCTAGTGCTGGTGCAGTTAAAAATTTCTCATAAAGATTGTTTTGTTGTCCATTACAAGCAGAATCTTACCAAAGTTAATCTTTAAATTAATATTTTTTTTTCTGTAGTCTAACAAAGTTTTAGTAAAAAAAAAAAAAAAAAATCTTAAACTAGCATTAGAGAAACACTAAAAAAAATAATGAATGATCATGGTAAATGAACAAGGGGTGAAACAGCTTTGAAAGGATGATCCGTGGAGTCTACTATGCAATTATGAATTAATTGTAAACTGTGTACAGTAGTGTAATCTTACGTTTGCTTCACACGAGAGAAAACTAATGAAATGTGATACACAGCTGGTTATTTTGCCCCTTGAAGAGTAACACATTGTGCATAATTCAGGGACCAAGCTTCTGTCTTTGGTAGGATTGTGTGGTGTTACTTTTATGTATACACGTCTGGCCAGTAAGCCAGCCTTGGCTCTGGACCAGCTGACACCCGTTTCCAGAAGGGCATCGCTTTGCTCTTTTCTATTTATTACTAATTTATGTTGCTGTAATGTAATGTCATTAAGGTAAGATTTCCCTTGGACACAGAATTGAAAATTTATTTGACAATTTCTTGGAATTTGTGATTTTACGCATTGTTTTAAAAAGAAACACGAGTCTTATAATTGAAAAAATTATAGGATGTCTGTGGGTTAGCTACAGTAGCCAGTCTTGATTACATTGTTTGTTTTTAATGACAAATCTGAATTAAGTTTCATGTAAATTATATGTACCTTAGTTATGTTATCTTTCTCACACACATCCTCTCTGTACGTCATTCAAAATAACACTCACCCACCCACACAGGTAATTCTCTAGGTTAGGTTATGTTTCATGTTAAAAGGTATAATACTGTACTTATAAAGGTGTTTCAACAGATTTTTCTTCATAGAATTATTGTTACACTGGTCACCCTTGGTTAGTTCTCGTTTTATTGTTGAGAGCAGAATTACTTTTACTGTACAGTATGAAGAAATAATGCCTTGTGTTGTAATATTTCAAGAATACTGCATTATCCTTTTAATATAAAATTTATGTTTCCTGAGAACTACCCAACAGAGCACACACACACACACACCGAGTTGAATCTGTTTGTAGGTCCAGCGTATTCACCATTGTAGGGCTAGCTTCTTTTTGTAATACTGTACTTTAAAAAACGTCCATGCACCAATATTGTTTTTATATTACCATGACTATGTATAACATATGCATCAGCAAAGGCACTTATGTGAGCTTTTATTCATGTCTACATTTTTTATGCTGATTTATTCCTTTAAAGAAATATCCAGAGTATAATTAATATTGTTGGTTTGTATAATGGTTGACTCCAATAAATTTAGATTTTCCAGGGAAAGTATCTTTTTTTTGTCACATGGGTGTTGTCTACATAACTCAAGTGGAGATGTACTGTACAGTATTGCATCAGTATTGGTGTTAATATAGTCATATCTCTTAGAACGCTGTTACGTTACAGCACTCTGTCATATATATATATATATACAGTACTGTATATATATATTCACAGTAGTTATAAAAATAAGGTAAAGATAAAGGATTCCACACAATCAACTACTTGTATTTTATTAACTGCTGCCAAGACTACTGAACATATTCCTGGAGAAGATGGAAAATCTCTCAAGTTTGTGGAATGAAGGTCACAGTATCACATGCATCTAAGCCAGTTCATCATCATGGAGAAGACTAGTATCTTCACGTACCTCCAGGAACATTAAGGAGAGGAATTGTCAATGGAGACATTACACGCAAGTCGTAGGTGGTTCGAGAAGCAAATAATAAAAATATATATATAAAATTCTCTGTAAATCAGCAAGAAAGAAGGTTTTGCAAACAAGTTTTCTCCTTATTTTGGTGCTTTATGGTTCATGTCTCTGATAACAGGCGACCCTTGTGGTGCTGGGCTTCAAAGTCAACCAACTGTGGACAAACTAACAATACTGTTTTGATGACTACTATTCATGATGTAATTAGTCTTGCAGCATTATCATTAACCACCATGTTTGAATTTTAAATCAATAAGGAATATAATAATGAGTCAATGCACAGAGTGGAAATATTATGGAATAAAAAACATGTTCATATACTTTTTAATGTACTTTTCTAAATATAAATTAAACCCATCATTTGCCCATGGTTATAGATAATGTATTAGAGCATGTCAGGATCTTGTTAATCATCAGCTGGTCATTAGTTCTGGCATCCATCTTATTCTCTGGTGTCCATGACTGATCATGCTCCAGACGGAATGATCCCTGAAATTCATGAGGACACGTTGAGCCCCACTCCTGAAAAGGATCGAGAAAAACAATTTTACTCCTGTGAATTAATGAATGATGTAAGATTATCCAGAGAGAGTTTCAGGCATTATTCTCAAGGATTCATACTGGCACTTTTACCCTCATCTTTCTAAATACTCCTGTACCAGGTTAGGAAGAGTTATAGTACAGTAATTGGCTACTCAGCTGAGATCTCATTTATGGCATTACAGTAATTGGTAATACTGTATGTATGTACTGAAAGACAATGAACAAATATGTGTGCACAATGTAGCAGAAGGATGCACAACCAAACTTGGCTATGATAGGAAAGTGGCTTGTCAGTAATTTTAGCCAATGGCATGTCAGCATTACCAATTATTTGGAAAGGTAGGGGGAGCTTCATCCGTACAGTATTAGGCTGGGAATATGCAGTGTGGTGTGGCTGAGTTGCCAGAGGATGCAAGATATTTAATATAAAACCTAAATATTGTTGACACAATTCGGACCAAGAGATTAAATGTAGATCACCAAACTTTAGGAAGAAGTGTCAACTGAAAAAAGGCAGTTGTGATATGTTGGACTATCAGGAGAATAGTGTACAAGTATGATAATTTTATAGTTAAGATATATGAGGCGGGAGGGAACAGAAAATAATAGAATTTATTTTTTAGTAAGAATGAATGAATGGAGTACTGTACCTGTGTTATGCAAGGGCAATAATGATGGTGGAATTTCTGTACACAGTATGTTGCTGGTAGGTACATATTTATTCTCTGTTAATGCAGGGTAATACTATGGAGTATTTTGACTTTGGCTGTGGTACTGGGTCTGCATAGGAGGCCCTCATTCTGGGCAAGAAGTCGACAAGTGAAGAAAGTAAAAGTAAAAAATAAGAAGTTAACATTTTTGAAACCACTTATACTGTAATCTTACAAAAAAAAATCTTTCAAGCCACTTTGTCACCTGTCTTGTTCTCACCCAGAGTGCCCAGTATGACAATTCTTAAGAAATACCTGAGGGCTGATAATAGAGAAGTATTTTAGTCCAGATGGCCGTCGGTAAAGATGGTAGATGTTACCGGGCTTTTTAACAAAGTTACAGGGTACATGGTGAAGGTCAGCATTTTCCTTGGCCTCTTGCAGGACTCTTCTGGCCTGCTCCTGAAGAAATCGCACTTGCTCTGTGATCACCTGCAGCTTGTTGCTTACATTAGCGTGTACAAATGTGTCGGCCTGAAATAAAAATTAAATTCATATTTCTATGGCTGTACCAGAGATTATTGTTCATACTTAAAGTGGTTCACACACTAGTGACCACATAATTCTGTACTTGTCAATAGCCTCAGTGGGCCTCTTGAATTGTGTACACTTGCACTGGGTTTGCAATTATCATGAAAAAACAAGTTGTTTCCAATTTACAACACATGACCAATACATATATAAATACTGTACTGAAAGTTAAGCAAACTGCTTAATTTTGCTCTTCACACAAACCAGTTATTTTATTATTTTTTTTTTGTGAAATGCCAAGCAGCAATCTTCATACTGCTGCATCTAAGTTAGTTCTCCTTAAACCAGAACTAAAGGTTATCTAATGCCATAGATCTTATTGTAACATTGCCTTGATTTATTTTTTCTTCACTATGCTTTACTATAAACTACTCAAGAGCAAAACAAGTCATGTGAACTTTGACCCTCCTCAGTAACAGCTAGACTTCTACTTGATAACATATTAGTATATATGGCAAGTAAACTCTTACGACAATTTCACATACTTTACTGTACTGTAATTTAATTTCAAGTGGGGGACTAAGTTCTCACTCAAATTTCATGTTATATTCACTAATAACCAGTTGTAGTAGATAGATGTCATTGTTATCTGTACTGGGGACTCTATAATGTATCCTTATACATTATCTTACAACAGAATGAATAACCAAAAAAGTTACAAATTTAAGTTGCCCCAAGGTCGTCGGTGTTTCCTCAGTCTATGTACAGTATTAACGTAAAAGTGTACCTGATTATAGTGTATTCACCTTTTGGATTTCTTTGGCTAGTTCTACCAAGTCCATACTGTCCACTTTGTTGGTCCGGTATGGATTGACTAGCTCAAACCCTCCAGGTGATGTGTCCATTTCCACGAGGTTAGCTGAAAAAAAAAACGCAGGTTCTTTATATTCAGAATCTTTCTAGTCGTAGAATGTTTTGCACTTTTTGTTACAATATATTACCATGAAAAAAAAATTTATAATATAAACTACAGTTTGAGGAAATGTTTCATCATGCTATGTGGTACAGTACTGTATTAATTACAGTTACCTTCATATTTCTATTTTGTTTAACACCTTTATCATAATCTTTTTCCACCTACATTAAAAGTAGAGCAAATGGAAATATCTATAAATAACAATAATAGTAAAACAATTAAAGAGACAAAAGAGGTAATTAACACATACTGTACAAACAAATTACTGTACATTATAAACACATGCACACTAAGCTTATTTCGATGCAATGTAGGGAACAGGAAATAATCTCTATGAAGCCCTTCCCCTCATACGTACTGCTAACCAAGACCAAAGGAACAATCTGAATATCAGTTATGTTTTTAAGCTTTTGATGATCCATGTTTACACAACTGAACTTAGCTAAATATTAATAATCCATGTAGATTGGATTACTTGTCTTTGGTAACCTGTATAATAATTCTGGCATGTCCTGTAAATTTTTCCTACATAAGTCATAATCAATAAATACAAAACTACATAAAATCCAAGTGTGGTAAAAGGTATTAAAGTACAGTTATAAAATACATAGTGTAATGGCTGTTCAGTTCATGACCTATATTCCATTTATATTTAGAACCAATTTATGGTGCACAAGATGTTTTTGATCACCACTGTTAAATCTTGAGAATTTTTAGGTGACAAGTTGTGTTCCGTAGTCACTCATTTCATATGTCTTATTGGTGCAGAAAGTTGTGATATGATTGGTTTAAAACCGGATTTGATTTGAGCTTGATACTGCTTGGTCTGTTTGAAGCAGAGCTCAAAGATGCTGTAATGAATGGAAATGGTCCTCAATAATCAGTCGTGTTGTGATCGGCTTGAAAATTAATGACCAGCCACCAACACACAAGATGTTCAACTGTGTGTGACCCAGGATGTTGTGACAGTGACCACTTTGGTGTGAAGTGGGTCACTTTTAAGTACAAAATTTATGACATTAGCAGTAGTATGGCATGTCCCACCTCAAACTGTGATGTGCACTATGCTAGGTTGGGCTGCCACCTTATTGAATTCTTCATGTGGTTCATAAAGCTTAGGAACCTGGAAATCCGTATTGCTATGAGCCTTGTACAGTAGTCATACTGTAATTTCTATACTGTACTATTCTTATTACACTATCTGTCTAAATACCATGTACTACTACTGCTTTGATGTCACTAGTAATCAAGTACAGGTATGACAGCATGGCTAATCTTATCGCCAATTTCCCCAGAAGGATAACTGTACAGACATGGGGTATATTGATCATATATCATCAAGTAACACATGGTTGAGCATGAATTGGCCAGGGTGTCAAGATCACCTCAGTGATGGACCAAATTCAGTTACTGCTGTAACAACCTAAAGATATTTGACTACAGTATTACAAGTATTAAGAAAAGTCAACAACCAAAAATAAGAAGTACAGTTATAGGAGCTTCCAATTACATGCTGGTGCAAAATGGATATTATTTAGCTTTACAATGTGTCATAAATAAAATAAATTCTGGTACGTAAATAAAACAAGAAGAAACTAACATGCACCTTAAACAGTTTGTTATAATAACCACTCACCTACAGTGCATGAGCTGTCATCTGCATCTATCATATGTAATTTTGTATTAATAATTAAGTATTGCAATTACTATCTTTTCAAATTTTAATAATTACCAGCTGTATGTCAATTAGTTAATGAAAAATGTAATGTACAAAGCATCCGGTGAGTGTAACATCAGAGAGATCACATTACAAGTTAATCCTATTTTTTATTAACTAAGCTAGCACAAAATGCAAAAAAAATAATGATATTTGTTGTCAACAGCTGAAATGAAGCTGTACCCAATCCAGTCATTATACAATATCATGGAGTGTATCTTCAGGCAGCTACTACTTAAGTCTTATCTGTAAAACTGGTACAGATAAGACCCATAACAGGTTAATTAACATGATCTCTTGAGTGACAGTCATCATGGCTTTAATTATCTGGTTGTAATAGTGAACCAACCAATAAACATTTACTGGAGTAGAGACTAAGACTGGGCTATAAGAGTTGTTTACTGTCTCAAGACTGGGCTATAAGAGTTGTTTACTGTCTCAAGACTGGGCTATAAGAGTTGTTTACTGTCTCAAGACTGGGCTATAAGAGTTGTTTACTGTCTCAAGACTGGGCTATAAGAGTTGTTTACTGTCTCAAGACTGGGCTATAAGAGTTGTTTACTGTCTCAAGACTGGGCTATAAGAGTTGTTTACTGTCTCAAGACTGGGCTATAAGAGTTGATGAATCTTGGGTTCATTCACTGAAAACTACAAGATTTATCAATGAGACTGAAGTTGTAAAAGGGCTGGTTTCACCTTGACTTGATCAACACACAATATGCATTTTCTAGTCTAAACATCAGCAAGAATATTATAACAAAGTTTTATGGATAATGTAAAATCATGTGTTCTCTTAGTGAGATTCTGAAGAGGAAACAGAAATCCTAAGAAAAAAAATGCTTAGACAATGTACCTTTTTTTTTTTTAAACACATTTTAATACTGCATCTTCACCAAACATATTAACTGTTAATATTTTAGTTTACCCAGAACTGGCCACAAGTCTAGCATAAAATTCTGACCAAACCTTACTGGCAACATGGTGGCTATAATGTGGGCGGCATATTTTCTGGTTTAAAAAAGATTGGTCAGTTTATAATAAGCCCTATACAATGTAGCACCCCACTAGGTGTCTGTTGATACAGTAGTTCATGTTTATCCCTTAAGCTGTAGACAACTTGATGCTGGTCATTTCACAATACAATGAATCCTAATACAGCACTTAGTAACTGGTTACACACAAGCTTCTACATTATGTAATACTGTATACAGTACTGTATTAACTTGACAATTTCTTTCAAATACTGTTCCTCAAGTTTGTTATACACTACAGTACTGCAATTACAGTACAGGGTATTCTAAAACAAATATGTACTGTAATTTCTGTACAGTATAACTGATTTTAATGTTGCTATTTATTGGACAACAAATACTGTATACATAAAATCTGTCAAAATCATCAACACTGAAATATAATGTGAATTCACTAGACAGCAACAGAAATTTTACCCAATAGAAAACTCCATTGACTGATGAAAAGCAGCCCTCGCTGCTGGGACAACTGTAAGGACACTGGAGACATGACCAAATACAGTACCGGCTACTATCAAATTGTCTCTTGGTCAAAAATTAGTTTAGATACCAAGTGAAAAACTTATCATCTAATGATTTCAGTAAAAAAATATTAATATCTGTACAATATAAAATTTTCTCCATACTGTAACAATAAATAATGGAGGTTATTCAAAACAATAAAAAAGACACCTCAATACAGGCAACAATTTGTTAAAGACCATTTTGATGTGCAAACAACTACTGTAGTGTTAACCTGCGTCAGTGTTTGATACTTCTGACATAGGTCTGACTTAACATCAGCACAACTGATGTTAGTCAACCTAATTAGTTTTATATTGTCCAATAATGCTCTTGGTGCTTCCTCTTCAATAGTGATTATGGATGATAGAAAAAGGAAAGAAACAACTACGTTCCACCCACCTTTCTTATCAAGCCCATCAAATGCACACAAGAGTTTAATTATTAAATTATCTTCACCTCTACTTGTACACAATGCTGTGATCTCCCCTACTATGGCAAACCAGTACTGTACAGTAGTTTGATGATGCCACAAAAATATGGATCCATTGAATAGCCTTTGTCAATCTGGCATACTAAGTGCTTCTCATTCATGTACTATATTTTTCAATGGCTAAACCATGACAAAGGAATAATGATTTAATAAAATGGTCGGTTTGAGTACAAAGGATGTTAGATTGTTAGGTTTTACCGTAACTATTTAATCTTTGGTTCTCTTCTTTCCCTGCCAATATTTGTTTATTTCTAATTACCTTCCAATAGGATTTTTTAAACATACACCCAGCATACGTTCTATTGGTGTCATAAGTCTTCTATAAACTTTATCTTGATGACATAACAAAGGTGAGTATTCCTCATCATTCACTATCACTAAATAGTCTCATGTCACCACAGCAGCTAAGCTTATAACGCATGTACCACATACCTATTAAGCTTATAACGCATGTACCACATACCTATTGGCCTTGAGGCATCTTGTAATCTATTTAAAGCCATTTTATCCACAGAGCAGCAGCCAGGAGTACCAGTGACGGCGATATCTGCTGACGGAGTGAGACTGAACGGACTCTCCCCTCAGTTTTGTTTACGTTGTTCCGTAACAGCTGACGCCTCGTACATTACTCACCTCACACTGTACGACAATTAACCCTCTTTCACGTTATTCTATCTTGATTTAAATGAGTATACAGGACGAGGAATTTAAACTATATATCAAGTAACATTTTAAGTCCGAATTTTACGCCGAGAACCTGTGTGAATGAGTGCTACAGTTATATGATGTTACATTTTTATAAGGGGGAAGCTAGGATATTATTGCAGACTTTTTATTCTTTGTGTGATATATTCGTATTTATAATCATGTTCATTCAGAGGAGAGCTTTCTATTTGTAATTTTAATTTAACAACAACATGGGCGTAATTTAATGTACGACACATGCGCTGGAACGTACTGTGCTGAATATATCGTACGCTTTATTGATTAACTAGAAGGTTGTGAGGAAGGAACCTGATTCTCAAGCTGTTAAAAACTGGGACACCGGTAGTTAATGGCTTACTACTTACCCCTTTAAGAATAAGGAACTAACCCCTTAAGTACGATGGCAACCCCCCTGAGTACCATGTTTTAACCCCTTGAGTACGAGTAAAAGGGAAACCATGAATATAATGATTAATCCCTAGAATATAATAACCTAATCTTTTGAGTACAATGAATTAACCTCTCGAGTACAGTGATTGAATTCCTTGAGTACAATGAATTCCTCGAGTATAATGAAAATTTTATGAGGACAATAACCCATTTCCTCTTGAATACGGTAATAATGTACTCAGATTAAATTATCGTACTCAGAGAATTTATGCAAAGAACGTAAAATTCATGGATAGAGAGAAGAGAGAAAGACGAATCAATAGAAAGAGAGAGAGAGAGAGAGGATGACGAAAAATGAGAGGAAGGGTGGAAGGCAAACGAGGGAATAAAATGAGAGTTTAAATGAGGAAAGGGATGATAACGTGATAAGCAAAACAAGGATAAACGAGGGGAGGAAGAAGATTGGATAAAGCAAGATAATGAAGAAATGGAGGAGAAATTCAGAATGGGTGATGATGCAGGATGAGGGGAGAGAGTGAATAGAAACGAGAGAGAGAAAATGAACGTGGAAATTAATATAGAATGGAGAAGAAGCGAGAGTGAAAGGAAAGAAAGAGAGAGAGAGAGAGAGATAAAGTGAATGGTAAGAGATAAACAGGAAGAGATTTTTTGTGGGATATAATTTCCTAAGGTCTTGATTGTGTAAAGGTGGGGTGTGGGTAGATTTGGGCGGATGTGGGTAGATTTTGATGGGCTGTGGGTGGATTTGGGCGGATGTGGGTAGATTTTGATGGGGTGTGGGTGGATTTGGGCGGATGTGGGTAGATTTTGATGGGGTGTGGGTAGATTTGGGCGGATGTGGGTAGATTTTGATGGGCTGTGGGTGGATTTGGGCGGATGTGGGTAGATTTTGATGGGGTGTGGGTGGATTTGGGCGGATTTGATGTGGTAAGATTTCAGTGGGGTGTGGGTGGATTTGGGCGGATGTGGGTAGATTTTGATGAGGTGTGGGTGGATTTGGGCGGATGTGGTAAGATTTCGGTGGGGTGTGGGTGGATTTGGGCGGATGTGGGTAGATTTTGATGGGCTGTGGGTGGAGTTGGGCGGATGTGGGTAGATTTTGATGGGCTGTTGGTGGATTTGGGCGGATGTGGTAAGATTTCGGTGGGGTATGGGTGGATTTGGTCGAATGTGGGTAGATGTGGATGTGGTAAGATTTCGGTGGGGTGTGGGTGGATTTGGGCGGATGTGGGTAGATTTTGATGGAGTGTTGGCGGATGTGGGTAGATTTCGATGGTGTGTGGGTGGGAGTGGGCGAATGTGCGTGGGTGCAGCTGGGTGTGGTTGAATGGGCCAGCTGCTGAACTGAGATGAGGTCGAGACAGTCACAGACTCAGTAGTAGTGCGGCGGCCGTGCGAGTGGGAAGTGCTGGCGCGTTGCTTTCTATACATGTCTTTCCCATGTGTACACGGCTCATGAGTGTACTGGATTCGTTACCCATGTGTACACGTCTCGTTAATCATATGTACACGGCTTGTTACTCACGTGTACACAGGATTTTGAGTGTACAGGACTCGCTACCCATGAGTGTACTCGCCTCTCAATGTACTGTATCCTTCATTACCCATGTGTACGCGCTTCAACAGTGTACATTCATCCCTGAGGGTACACGCCATGCTACTAAAGTGTACATATTTCCCAGACTATACGCGTCTTATGTGTACACTCCTCCGTATCAAGATGTACACGCCTCGCTACTCAGATGTACACGCTATACTGTATAAATATTCCCATATCGCTGAATACACACATAACGCTAATTACAGAACAATAAGTGTACACGCAGTAATAAGTGTAGTTTACACGCAACAATAAGCACATACACTCGTACACCCCATCTCTCTAAGTCCCAATTAATGTAATTAGTCATTTAGGTTGTCGAAGTGAAATCCAGTTGTGTTTTACAGTATTTTTGTTAATTTATTTTTAATTTGTTAATTTGACCTTTATTATTATTATTATTATTAGTAGTAGATTTGCTCTTGTTATTTTTTACTGTATATTATGCCATATGCTGTAAATGTATATCTCTATACACTAGAGTCTAGTGTATACAGATATACATATTATGTGGTTCTTAACCTTTTTTGAGTCACGGACCCCTTTGAGAAACTGGTGAAAGCTATGGACCCCCTCCCTAGAAAAATGCACATAAGCACAACTTTGCTTGCAATGAATATACTTTATTCTATTGAAAATTCATTGCCTCATACAGTGCATGACATACACAAAGTATAGTGAATATAAATGTTAAATTTTTATCTGACCTTCACTGACCCCCTGAAGCCCATCCATGGACCCCAGGTTAAGAACCCCTGCTTAAGTTCGGACTAGACATTATGTGACGTCGTTGTCTATTGTAGTTTGTTTGGCTAGTTCAGGAAGGAAAATTAAGGTGGGTTTTTCACAAGGTAGAGTGTGATTATAAGCAGACCCGGGAACTTTACCTTTGCAACTAAAACACGATTATAGTTAAATATAGCATGGAAGGTGAGTGAGTTAATGAATTATTGAACAGTAAGTGTATGTGTCCTCTTAATAACGCGAATAAGAATTTACTTTCAAGTTTAATTCTTCTCAAAACACTCCTGACGGCACCAGTAGCTCACAAATCATCCCTGTTAACACTTTCTTCAAAATTTGCATGAAAGAATAAACAAATGTCACGTGTTGTCCCGTTGGAGCTGGAAATTATTCCTACAGTTACTAGAACCAAAATAAAACGGTAAAGTAACCTTGTCCTTACTTATTATTACTGTATTGTCAACGTTGAATAATAATAAAACGCTTTCATTTACTAATACAGTAACTATTTTATTTTGCTGTATTTTTTTCCATTGTGGTACACATATTAATTGTTTTACTCATATATATATACCCTGCACTTTATGTGACGAGTATTTTTCCAGCCAAGGTTTTAGTTTCGTCTGTGTGTTCGTTTGTCAGTAGTCTTACTCAACGTTTGTAATAAAAACAAACGAGAATACGGAATAAATTGTAAATGTGTTTTATGCAGTTATGGTGTAATTTCTGATGTCAAAGGCGAAAGTCTCGAGTTTATCTAGTAAAGATTTTTTTAGATTGTCCCGGAGGGGGCTAGTTTATTGGGCACCCCCTTACATCCTGTGCAAGATGAAGCGCAGAAGCGTTTACAGCGCCCATCTGGGAAGCATGCGGAGTTCATGCTTGCCTTTATGACTCATGCATTAAGGGCGTAAAAGCCTGAAGGGTCATGGGTTTTGTCAGCCAGTTACATACAGTGACAGAATGATGAATGTGTGTGTGGGGGGGGGAAATTCCCGGTACTATTTATCTGTTTATGGCAAAGCGTGGCAGGTCCCTAATAATGTCAAGTGCCAGGCCATAGCCAGAAGGCATTGACAATATTGAGGGACATACCTTTTAGTGTGATTGTGATGGCGTGTACGTCGGTAGTGTCGGCTTCAAGGGGGACGTCGAGAGGTTGGTAGGGGACGTCCTTCTTGGCGTAGATGCGTAGTCCACTGGCATGTCCTCATGGTGGTCAATTGATGTGGAGAACTGAAGTGGATGGGCCCCAGGTGCCGGCACGCCGGTGGGGTACATGGGGCTAGTAAAGGCAATGTAGTGCAGTAGTAGGTCAAGCCAGTCAGAATGATAATTATAAATGTGATCGCAATTAGTGTCCGTTAAGTAATTACAATTTCCTACTATTATTCATTGAGGTAAAGACAGTTTGTGTAATAATGTTTATGCCTGTGATGTGTTTGAGATGATAGTTAATTTACGATAATTTTTAGTGTAAATTGCATTATACTTAGTGTATCCCTTTGGTAGTGACTGTGGATATAACGCCAATGAAACAATCGTCGAGAAATAATTTAGAAAACCGAAATTTTATGTGAAAACTATGAATTAAAAAAAATACTTATTAAGTTAATATTGAAAAACACAAAAAGTGATGTTAATAAAGCGAGAGATTTAAATAAATGTTGAAAATTGATACAAACTTGTGCAACAAACGACAACTTTGATGGTGATGGAGGATAACTGTGAACCTCGTGGCGTGTAAACATCATCGTAAGGACGCCGACACGATGGAGCTGCTGGCACGATATATCCTCGTCTTCCCCGCAATCTTCATCGTCCTTGTCTTTTATGGTGAGTACATAATAACAACAGTGTGAGGAATATATTGTCTGTGCTATGTGACGATGGGTTTAGAGTGTCACGAGGTATTGTTACCAGAAAGATTAGTGTGTAGGAAGTAGATTCAATATGGCTGACTCAGGACCCACGTCTCTATGAGTTCAGTTTGATAGTTTAAGTTACGTTACTTTTTGCCACTGTATGTTGAAAATTTTTTAGAAACCGTAAAATTTTTACTTACATTCGCGTTTGCTCATGTACACACGTAACCGAATGAATTTCTACGCTAAAGGATTATTTTGCACTGGACTTCTGTAGAA